CAGCACAAGGCTTGATGGTCGGTGACTACGCGGCAGTGGCGACCCTCCAAGTAAGGACGCCATTTCTCAAGGGCCCAAACAACGGCCAAACATTCTTTCTCGGTCGCGCTGTAGTTCCTTTCCGCACCAGAGAGGGCTCGACTAGCGTAGGCAATTGTGCGTGGTCCACTCTCCTGTCGTTGGAGGAGGACGGCCCCAAGTCCAACGTCGCTCGCATCAGTGTGAATGGAGTACGGCAGGTCAGGATCCGGAAAAGCAAGGATTGGCTGAGTCGTAAGTGCAAGTCGTAAGCAGTCAAAAGCTTGTTGGCATGCCGTTGACCACACCCAGGCAACTTCCTTCCGGCGTAGCTGGTGTAAGGGTTCAGCAATGTCGGACAGGTGGGGAATAAACTTTTGGTACCACCCGACCATTCCCAAGAATCGTTCAAGTTGCTTGCGAGTCTGGGGAACTGGAAAGTCCTGAACTGCAGCAATCTTGTCTGGATTAGGACGTATGCCCTCCTTACTCACAACATGTCCAAGATAGGACATCTCAGAGCAAGCAAAGTTGCATTTCTCAAAGTTCACCGTAAGCCCAGCTTGTCGCAACTTGGTCAGCACTTCATGCAAGTCAGCAAGATGTTGGTCAACAGTCCGGGAGTAGCAAACTATATCATCAAGATACACGTAGCATACATGGCCAATCAGATCTCCCAGCACCTCCGACATCAGGCGCTGGAAACTAGCGGGCCCGTTGACTACACCAAAAGGGAGCACTGTGAAATGGAAGAGTCCCTCTTCACAAATGAAGGCTGTTTTTTCAGCGTCCTCGGGTGCAACAGCCAACTGCCAGTATCCGCTACGGAGATCGAGTGAACTGAATATCGTGGCCCCATGAAGTGAATCTAATATGGCGTCGATAGTGGGCATCGGAAAAGCGTCGATCTTTGTGACTGAATTTAACTTCCGATAGTCCACACAAAGACGGAACTGGCCATTCTTCTTGGGGACCATCAACACTGGTGATGCCCATGGTGATTTGGACCGCACAATTTTCCCCGTTTGAAGCAGTGTGTCCAGTTCTTTGCGCAGAGCTTGGCGGCGTTCTGGTGAGAGGCGATATGGGGGAGAGCGTAGAGGTGAGGCACCACCCACGTCAATGTGATGTTGCGCCATGTCCGTCTGCCCTGGTTCATCGGACATGACATCTGGAAAAGCATTCAACAATGTGTCTATGCGATGAATGTCATCACCTGTGAGAACTGGTCGGTCAAGTTTTATGGAGGACCGTGGGGGCATGTCATCATCAATTGTTGTGACAGGCTCTGCATGACGAGGGGGAGGGACGGGTGTACCCAACATAGGATACTGGACAGTTTGTCTTCGCAGACAATCCATGACGGGGACCGTCCAATAACAATTATTGGCAAAATCCAGTGCCAAATTGACGTTGTGCACAAAGTCCATACCAAGCAAGACAGGGGTCGGCAGGCGGCGGACTCTATGTAAGTGAAGCTTAGTTTCTGCTCCGCCCACACCAACCCTCGTCTCCACCGTTCCAAGTGTGGTTAGTTCAGACCCATCCACCATAACTAATGCCTCTTCGGGTGTTGGGCCAAGTGGGAGGTCCAGTTCATTACAGAGTTCATCCGTGATCAACGAGAGACTGGAACCCGTGTCTATGAGAGAGACAACCCTATGGCTATCATTGATGGTTGCTTCAACTAACGGTCCACACTGACAAGTATTGTCCGCCTGCAAGAAGTTTATCTTGTTAGGCTTCTGAGGCTTTTCACTGTCTTTAAGCACTGGGGTGTTTGTAGGTGACTGTGAGTTGACGTCTGGCTTTGGCGGTGGCATCGGGCAGTCTTGTACCCTATGACCAATTTGTTTGCATCTGTAGCACACACTGGTATATTGCCCAGGTCGGTTGGGCCGGGAAGGGGGTGTCGATTTGCTCAGTGCCGGCTTGTTTCCAGACATAGGCGGTTTGTTTTGCGAAGGCACAGTTTTGTCAGGAATCGAAGGTACTGGGTTGTGTCTGAAGCTGTTGTGGGTGGATGGGTTGTTGGCTCGTTGATGGAGCAAATACTCATCTGCAGCTCGCGCGAGTTCGGACACAGTTTTAAATGTGCGTTCTCGCAATTTGAGGCGTAGGGTGTCATTTCGCACCGTGGACAGCAGCTGGTCCATCATGATTATGTGGAAACAACGCTTGACTTCTGGAACTTCAGCTGTGGCTTTCTCAGTTTGAAGCCACTTGAAGAAATTGTGCTCAAGCCTGTTCGCATAGTCCTCAAATGTTTCATCACCCTTCTTGAAGTCTGACTTGAATTGCATTCGGTAGGCTTCTGGGGTGCGAAAATATCTCCGCTCTATCGCAGCTGTAATCTTGTCAAAATCCTGTTTGTCCTCCTCGCTCAACCCGTAGAAAACTTTCTGCGCTCTACCAGTTAAGTAGGGTTCCAGTAGCCTTGGCCATTCCGTTTTAGGCTTTTTGGCGGCGGTTGCTAGGCGCTTGAAGGTGGCCAAGTAACACGTGATATCATCATCGCTGCTCAGTTTATGAAAATCCGGGAGCTTAGGGCCCAACTGCACCACAGGGGGTTTCTTAGTCGACTCAGTAACAGCATCGACCAAGGATTTGCACAGTTTTTCTGTCTGTGATTGGCGTGTGTGTTCCATTTCCTGGATGAATTTCATGAGTTCAGGAACTCCAAATCCACTTGGTTGTTGTTGTTGTGGTGTCTCCTCAATCATGTGAGGGAGGTCGCACAGGCTTGCGACTCTTTCTTGTTTCGTCTTCACCTCATTTGTGTCTATGTGATTGAGTTCACAGAGTTTGGCAATGTGATCAGCCGTAAATCGGCGTAGATAAACCGCTCTATCAGCCATTGTTCATGGTATCCTGATTTACACAACACGGTTCTGTAATTTAGGCGCACATGTTTATGATGTTGGCACCATAGAACACGATAATCCCACATGAGCACTAGACGGTACCCAGAAGGACACCGATAAGCGAGGGAATAATGTACCCAAAAAACTATGTACAATACAGTTCGGCGTATATGAAACTAGTTAAGGGTCACACAACATCCTCACACTCTGTAAAGTCGATAGTGGATTGTTAGAAAACACAGAATGCGATATATATCTGATCATGTCGAAACGGTAACGGCGATGGCAAAGATCACATGGACATGAAACTGAAAAGAGTTCGTCATAATCCACTAATATCTCAATCCCTTAAACGCATCCTGCCGACTACGCCAGTGT